CAGCTGGGGTCAGGAAGTCTATTTCATTGAGGTCACTTTCGTCTCCTTTCAATCTAATGAAGCCATTATTGGTGAAAGCAAGTGCCTGGCGTCTCGCTCTGTGAAGCAGGGCCAGCATGGGGAGCAGATGAAAGAAGGGAGGGGGCTCCCTGGCCTGGCTCTCCTGCCAATTCAACAGGCCTGCGGGGTGAGAGGGGCACAGCCCTGAGGGATGTAGGAAGCAAGCGCTGGTCCCCACAGTGGGATGAAGATGGCAACATGGGGCGAAGACAGATCGTTTCTCATTGTGGTTAGGAAGGGGGTCTCTCTCCTTTATACACACACACACACACACACACACACACACACACACACACACCCTACTTCAGAATGTCTGCTCTGGAAGGCACATTTGTCACCAATGAATCCAACTCTCGTTTTAGCCTTAGAGGATGAAACTGTGTTCTTAGGCTGAGAGAGCATGGTGGCTTACCTTTAATCCTTGCGTTCAGAAGGTAGGGGCAGGTAGGTCTCTGTGAACTCAAGGCCAGCCTGGTCTACACGGTGAGACCTTGTTTCTAGAATAAATAAATAATAAATAAATACCTGTGATCTTCTCTGGAGATCACGGAGATGAGCAGAGAGGGAGGGCATGTGCTGTACAGTCCTCATCACCCATGCTTGTTCTCTGTCTTTGTCCAGAATGGAGCCATGAGGATAGGAATTTGACCTCTTCTGCTCCTTGCCGTGTCCCCAGAACTCCACAAAGTGCTGCCCGGTACAGAATAGGTGTCAGTAGGTATCTGTTAGAGCCTGTCGCACTGACACAGGCCTGCAATCCCAGCACTCAAGGAGGCAGAAGCAGGTGGATCTCTGTGAGTCTGAGGCCAGCCTGGTCTACAAAATGTGTCCCGGACAGCCAGGCTACACAGGAAAACCCTGTCGTGGGAGGTAGGGGCGGAGGGAGAGGATCTGTTAGGTGAATGAGTTGATGAACTGCAAACATCAACTCATTTTTCTTTCTTTCTTTTTTCAAGACAGGGTTCATGTTCCCCTTTCAATGTCATTTTAATTGTGTGTGTGTGAGAGAGAGAGTCTGTGTGTTCAGCCATGCTGTGGTACCCACATGAAGGTCCCAGGACAGCTTGCAGGTGCCAGCTCTCTCCTGCTATGCGAGTCTCAAGGACTGAAATCAGATCATTAGGCTTGACAACAGGTGATTTACCTGCTAAACATTCTTGACGGCCCCTCCGTTTTTTAACTTTTGAGACAGGATCTCACTGTATAGCCCTGGCTGGCCTTGAACTCACAGAAATCAATCTGCCTGCCTCTACCTTCTGGGCATGCACCCACTTTGTTGTTTTGTTTTGGTTTGGTTTGGTTTGGTTTTTGGTTTTTTGAGACAAGGTTTCTCTCCATAGTCCTGTCTGTCCTGAAACTCAACCAGGCTGGCCTCAGACGAGTAAGACACCTGCCTCTACCTTGCAGGTGCTCGGATTAAAGGTGTGCACCATCATACCTGACCTCTCTATTTAAAAATAACATTTCAAAACTTTTCAGCGTACACACATGTAGTAGCATGTGCCATGGTACATGCATAGATGTCAGAAGGTAACTTTTCTCCCTTCTCCAGTGTGGGTCCCGCCAATCAAGCCCTGGCCATCAGGCTAGATGGTGGCGGGTTTCCTGCTGAGCCATCTTACAGACCTTCTTGATGAATACTGTCATACTGCACAGGAAACATGACTAATCTGCTGCTTTTTGCACACTTTTCCTGAGGTTTCTTTGTTTTGTTTTAATTTCTCCTGAACAGCAAATGACGACCTTGAACTTCAGATCTGAACTTCAGATCTGCAAGGCCTGGGATTGCAGCATGTTCTGACGTGGTGAAACTTTCCTGGGGGACACAACAGGACTCCAGATAGAGAGCCCACGACAGATACCGCCGAAGTCCAACCTGATGTACCGATGAGTTTTCTGGGGGTTACTTACAAGGCACAGAAACAACTCAAAGGCAGCCGGATCGCCAAGGCCCGCCACAGAAGGGGTGACAGTTCGCAAAAGCTGGGATCCTGCAGCTTACTGCCCAGCCTGCAGACAGCTGGACAGGCTGGAAAGGGTCCTTCCCGGGTGCCTCCTCCCGATAGCTCTGCTGACTCCTACTTCTTCCAGGCAGCTGGGCTGGTCTTTGGTGCAGAATTGTTTGCTGGGGAGGGAGGGAGGGACCTAGTGGATCTGTTCAGTTTCAGGGAGTTCCTGAAGTAGTCCTCTGAGTTGTTTATTCCCTGCTAAAGTAGCTCCCCTGCAGGATGGAATGTTTTGATCTTGGAGGAGACTGTTACACTGCAGGCAGACCACCAAAACTGGTCTAGGTGGTGCTCTGCAAATGCTAGGCGGGCGCTGACCCACATCTCCAGCCTACCAAGCTTTATTTTAAAGCATGCTGTAATGTACCAAAGGTCCTAGGGAGCTGGCATCGTTTCCAGTTTAATTTTGTTCCTTTGAGACACAGTTCTCATGTAACCCAGGCTGTCCTTGAACTCCAAATCCTTCTGCCTCCCTGTCTTAGGTACTGGGATTACAGAGAAGCCCCCTGCCCCCTTCAGTTGGTGGGACAGTTATCTTGAGAGACACATTGGGGGAATAATTTTCTCGGGGGCATGCTATCTTTCATGTTTGCAGATGGCCAGGGCTTTACACTCAGAGCTTTTCTGGGAGTAGAATTTAAACAGATAGCTGAGGGGAAAAAAAATGAGAATTAGGAGTATTTTGATAATGCACATTATTTCAATTAAAACTGTTGGGGTAATCCTTTCATGCACTGTGTGAAGGTTGTCTTTGTATACTCAACAAAGGAAGATTGAGCTGGCTCCAAGGAACCTGACAACTCTAACCAGCAGGAAGCAGCTAAGAGAACTTTGGCCTCTCCCACTAACCCTTTCATCCTACCTGGTGTTGAGGTGTTGAAAGGGATTGGGGTAGAGTAGGGAGAAAGAGGTATAAGAAATGTAAATAAAAGAGTTTTTAAGAAGTATGCTGTTGTGCATAATTTAATATTTACTATTGATACATTTTTTAGTTATACTGTGGTTATTCCTAATCCAACTCACCCAAATCACCACACAGAGACTGGGATTTATTTAACTAACCTAGAACTAATGCTGGGCAATAGTTATTTCATCCTAAACCTCCTCCAAGCCCACATAGTTTCCTACTATTCAGATTTCACCCATTATACTTGCTTTTAGTCATATCCTAGGTCTGGTCCATTTCTCCACATGGTTCCAAGTTCTCTCCTGTGGATTCCCTCTTCCTCCTCTTCTCTTCTGGAACAGGATCTCCCACCCTATCCTTTGCATTGCTCAGCATTGGGGATGGTTGTTTAATTGTCAATATAGAGAACAAATGGTGGCATATTTACAAACTTGAGACAGGTGATGCTTAGAATAAGCATCAAAGCAATGTCTGGATTGAAACCAGATAGTGGGGGAGAGAAATCAGCATTTGAAGGAACAAGGGTACATTGTATACACTCCATAAGAATGTTATACCAACAGTATGCCAACAGCCTGGTGCCAGAAGATGCCAGAAGAGGGTGTTGGATCCCCTGAGACTGGAGTTACAGATGGTTGTGAATCACTACCTAGGTCCTGGAAATTGAATTCCAGGCCTCTGGAAGAGCCTACATCATTCTTTTCTTCTTCTTCTTCTTCTTCTTCTTCTTCTTCTTCTTCTTCTTCTTCTTCTTTTAAAAATTATTTATTTATACAGTATTCTGCCTGCATGTGTGTCTGCAGGCCAGAAGAGAGCACCAGATCTTATTATAGATGGTTGTGAGCCACCGTGTGGTTGACTGGGAATAGAACTCAGGACCTCCGGAAGAACAGCCAGTGCTCTTACCCTCTGAGCCATCTCTCCAGCCCCTATCTTCTTCTTTTTTAAAACAATAATTTATTTAATTTTATTTTAAGTGTGTTGGTGGGAAGGTGTCAGACCACCTGGAACTGGAGTTATAGATAGTTGTGCTGCCATGTGGGCACTGGGAGTTGAACTTGGATTACTTTGGAAGAGCAGACAGCGCTCTTAACCCCTGAGCCATCTCTCTAGCCTCCACACCCAGTTTTAGGAAGTCCAATGTATTAAGGCCAGGCCTTGGTTTTAGGGACCAGCTCAGGGCCTTTGCATGCTTTGGCACATGTTCTACCCACTGAACTGTATCCCTATTCCGTTATAACAGTAACGATTTACACAACTAAAAGCTACATGCTACGTGCCGGGTGCTGGTGGCGTACACCTTTAATCCCAGCACTCAGGGAGGTAGAGACTTGTCGGTGGATCTCTGCGAGTCCCAGGCCAGCCTGGTCTATAAAGCCAAGGCTACACAGAGACACCCTGTCTCGAAAAACAAACAAACAGACAAACAAACAAAAAGCTACCTGCAGGGCAGTACTCTAAAAACATTTCCCCCGACTACCTCGTCTTGATCCTTCATTCTCACAGTATCTATGAGCACTAAGTATTCTCACTCTCTCCACAGACAGAGGGGGAAACTGAGGCACACAAAGCTAAAGAAAGTGGCCCCAGATCACAGAGCTGTAACAAACTCAGACAGTCTGGCTGTTCCCTCAGGAAAGTGCAAGGTGCCAGGCTTGGTGGTATACATCTCAATCACTTGGGAAACTGAGGCAGAGAATTAGGACTTCAAGGTTATTTTGGGCTTTACATCCAATCTAAAGCCAGCCTGGGCTACATGCTTCACATTTAATGACTCACAAGCTGCCGGCAATCCAACAGCCTCTCCTGGCTTCCGAGGGCAGCTGCACACACATGGCATACAAACACACACACACACACACACACACACAAATAAAAACATAGCAAAAGAAAGAGAAAAAAAAATTCAGCTAAGCAAGCTGACACACCGCTGTAATTCCAATTCTAGTGGGACACTGGGATGAGAGTCGGGTTTTTTTTTAATTTTAACTTTATTTTATTTTATTTTTTTGTAGGACTTTTATTACTTTGGAGGCCAGGACGCAGGAAGGTCTCAAGGCAGAGAACCCGGAAGCAGGAGTTGCGGGCCTTTTCAGCACCAGGGACAGAGCCACAGGCGCCCTCAGGACCCTGGACAGAGCAGGCGCTCATGCCTGCGGGGAAACGCGACCACTTTAACGTCTGACCAAGAGGCTCACCTCGTCTTTCTTCTTCCCTTCAGAAGACCCGAACCACCTACTCCTGGTCTTTAGGAGGAGAGGTACAGGGAACAGATATTGTAAAGACACTATTTGTTGGGAGTGGGTTGTGTAAATAAAATGGCTTTGGTTGATACACTCGGAGAACCCTGAAAAGACCTAACAGCCCCTAGCTGGGACCCGGACACTGTTAAGGACACTTATTTTTCGGCTAAGGAGCGCCAGGCTCACCACACCTCCTTCATCTCCCAAAGCACTACCTCACACTTTTTTTTTTCCCTCTCAAACTTTAATATCATACAAAGCACTTCGGAGGAAGGAGGGAAATTTCTCTGTAGTCGTTGATTCTCCTACCCACCGTTTCCCTAACCCATCACCCTTTTTTCCCCCTCTTTCTCAGATACACACTTTCTTGCCCGTGAGCGCGCACCGATGATGCACGCACCGCCGCCGCGTGTGATCCGCGAGGGATTCCACACACTTGTGGAGAAGGCCGAATTCAGGGTAAGCGGATGCCCCTGAAAGCAGGCTCTGTCCCTTTAAATGGGTTGTAGCCGTGGGGGAGGGGAACTGACCGGAGCTGGCATTGTCCAGTTTGAACTGAGCACCGGAAGTGAAGGGGCAGGGCCAGGGCCGTGCACTGAGCCCCGGGCCATTGTCCATCTCTGACCAGGGCAGTGGCCACCCCCCTGGTCCACCCTCTTTATCTTCTAGTAGGGAGTTGACCTCTTCAGATGAGAAGCCTATCCAGTATTTCCACCAGCCACACCACCCGGAGGGTAGCGCAGCTCAGGACCGTGGCTGAGCCCTGGAGGGTCTGGGAATCAGAGTCCCGGGTGCTGGAGGAAGTGCCTCCACCCGCCCACCGGTCTATTCTCTTCCAGCAAGAGCTGGGACGGGACGGGGCACGGCGAGGACAGGAGCGCTGGCACAGAGGGCAGCCTCCCAGGCCTCACCCGCGCTCTCCCAGGAAGCCCTACCCGGGACTATGCAGGCTTACAAGGAATCAAAGGATTCTCTGCACAGAATCCATCAGGAGCTGGCTCCTGGTTGGGACAAACCCAGAGAAACTGTTGAGACTTGGGAGGTGGGGACATTGCAAGTCAGAGGGCCGAGGCTGAGAGGGAGCGCCTGGGTCAAGACAGAGGAGCTCTGCGGGGTCTCCCTCTGGCTGCTTGCCTGCACCCCTCTCCCTGCTTCCTGGTGTCCAGAACTCCAGGTCTATCTAAGCACACGGGGGTGGCGGGTGAGGGCAGGTCAGCGCCGAGCAGCCGGGTCAGCTAGGAGGCCTGAGGGGGAGGGGGGAGGGGCGCCGAGGGGCTGGGGGAGGGCTCATCCATTTCTCCCTTGACAGGTGGTTTGTGTTTCTGATTGGACAGCGCCACCAGGCTCACACCTCCCTCCCCCAACTCTCTGGAATGTATAATTATCTGCCCGGGGGGTGGGGGTGGTGTGTGTGTGTGTGTGTGTGTGTGTGTGTGTGTGTCACATGGTTATAAAACTACCCCCCCCTTAGGTCCCCCACCTGTGTCTGCCTTGGGTACCCGCACCGAGTCCTCAAAGTGCAGTATCCCAAATTCTGGGGTCCTCAAGAGTTCTAGGGCAAAAAAAAAAAAAAAAAAAAAGGATCCCTATCCCCAGATGTGTGCTTGTGGAGGGGGTGTCAAATCTCAAGGTTCTGGGAAGGGACACCCCAGAGGTGTCAGAGACCAGGGCGGTGGGGGAGGGCCGGAGCCAGAGCCGGAGGGAAAGGGAGGGGTAAGGAGAGAGGGGAGGGGAGGGGGCTGCCCGCGGGGGGTTGGGTCATTGTCTTTTAGAATTTGGGAGCCTTTGAAAAGCCGTGGGCCCTCCCACCGCTATTGTGCGGGGGAAGATGTAGCAGCCTCTTCTCCGAACCACCCCTTTGCCTCCGGACTTCTCTGGGGCCAGCAGCCGCCCGACCTGGGGCCCGGGGCCACGGGCTCAGTCGACGATCATGGGCTCGGTGTCCAACCAGCAGTTTGCAGGTTCGAGCTTGCGACCTAGCGGGCACACCTTAGGATTCAGGGCGCCCAGGAGCTGGACAGAAGGGAGGTGGGAGAGTGTCCCACACACTTGCTCGCGGGACCCCAAGTCCCTGCCGGCCTCCTGCTTCTCGGGGCTACCTCTGGCCCAGGGAACCCTGGCGTTCCAGTGGCCTGTGCGCCTAGCCTGTGGGGGCGGAGGGAGAGAAGAGGAGGGGCCTGTCCCGCCGCGTGTGCACGGGCAACACGTTCTGGGAAGACAGGCAAAACTTTCGGGGCAGCAGCGTCCTCGGTGTGAGCTCGGGGAGGCCGCCAGGACAGGTTTCTTCTCGCCAGCTGCCTGGTGGCTGCCTCCTCCTGGGTGTCCGCCCGCGGGCTCAGCACCGGGAGCTCGCGGCCGGGTCCCGGGGGGGGGGGGGGGAGCGGCGCTCCCACGGCCCCCAGCTGATCAACCTGGCCCTCCCTGTCTCCAGGTGGCTGCGCCAAGGCCGCGGAGAAGGCGCCCGAGGAGGCGCCGGCTGACGCGGCGCGGGCGGCGGACGAGCCGCAGCTGCTGCACGGGGCCGGCATCTGTAAGTGGTTCAACGTGCGCATGGGGTTCGGCTTCCTGTCCATGACCGCCCGCGCCGGGGTCGCGCTCGACCCCCCGGTGGACGTCTTTGTGCACCAGGTGAGACCGGTTCTGGCAACTTTGCTGCGGGGGGGTGGGTGGGGGGCGGACAAGGCGAGCGGGAGTTCGGGTGCAGGGCTGTGCCCGATGGCCTCTCCGGCTGGGGTTGGAGGAGATAAAGGACCCTCATTGTGCGCCCCTACCGTTGCCCGGACGCCCCGACTTTGAGTTTGGGGCAACTACGGTGGAGCGAGGAGGAGGCTCCGCTGACCACCAGCACCCCCTCCCCGCCCCCTTCCGGGAACCCCTCCGGCTTACCACGTGTCTATTACCTCTTTCCCCTGGGAAGGGAGCAGGGGGCAGGGAGGTGACCCCATGTGGCAGAAACTAAGGTTGTATTGTGCTTGCCGGTGGGGGAGGGCGAGCAGGCCGGGCAGAGAAGCACATGCCGAGCCTGAGCCGGGCCTCGGCGTCCTGCGCGCTGACGGTCTGATGTAGTTTACCGGGGGGGGGGGGGGGTTGTTTGCAGTCCTACCTACGGGCGTGAACCTGCGCCGCCGGGCTCTTCCCCTGTGTCAGCGCAGACCTCAGTCTGGTGGCCGCGCACAGCCAGGTCCCGCGGCCAAGGTGCGTTTGGCAGATCCCGGAAGGATCAATGTCCTTTCCCCGGAGGTCTGCTTACAGTCGAGGACCGGCAGGCACCTCTGCCGTCCTGCCTGGAACGGAGACCTTAGGGGTCCGGGTCCTCATTCCCGGCTGGGCCGATCCAGGGGAGCCCTGAGGTCGGGCAATCCCAAGTTCTCAGTTAAAGGAGGGCAACGCAGTAGGGAGTGAAATTCAGTGTCGAGGGGCCAGGCGGCGGAGGGAGGCTGGCCTCTGGCCCTATTCTCCTCAGCTTGGCATTTATGGCCGCAGACAGCCGTTGATTGCTGTCCCTAACATTCCTAACCCTAAACAAGGAAGAGCCTTCGGGTTTCCCTGTTCCCCGCCTTCCCCTTTCTTAACATCCTACGGGCGGGTTCCAGCGGTCCCATCCCACCGTGGAAAGGAAGTTCCCGCTTCTCTCCTTTCCACATTTGGTTGTTTAACGCTGGACCAGGAAAGAATTGATAATCCCTGGCCCTGGAGCTTGACACCCGGGCCGGGCAGGGAGGGGTTACTTCAGGGAGGTTAGCTTTAGGAGCTGTGGGGGAGGGGAAAGGAGGATGTGGGGATTAAGAGTTGGAGCCTGAGGGATGGCGTTCTTGAGGGGGAGGGGTGGGGAAGGAGATGCTGGATGGACGGACTGGTTGGAGGCTGCTGGGAAGTCTGAACACTGCCCTCCAGTCGGGAGGTTGAGGAGGGGGAACTAGGTAGATTTGGGTTGAAGGAATTTGGGGCCAGCTCTTTGCTGTTGGTGTGCTGGAGTCACTGGGCTCCTGAAACTTAGGCTCACTGAAGGGACCTGCACCAGGACCCTTAATTTTCTTTCACACCCTCCACCATAGCTATCACCAGACTGCTGGTTTCTGGGTGGTGGCTTTGTGCCCCCCCCCCCCGTCTCATTTACATATGTGAATGATAACCCACAGGAAGTAATTGTGAGAGAGAAGGGAATTGGCCTCTTTAGATCTATTAAATCACTTTATTACAGGAACCAGCTCTGAATGGCCCTCCTCTGCGGGTGGCAAGCCTCCCCACATTTATCTGATCGCGGAGATAAAAATATTTCCTGGTCTGGAGATGGGCTGGGCAGGACAACTTACCCAGTTTTGGGAGGCTGGGATATAAAGGAGGTCCAACCCTTTCATTCATGCCACTGAGGAGAAAGTACCCTGTGATTTGAGGTCAACTGGTGTTGGGACAAATGTAGGTTCCATGGCAATTGGAAAGCTATCGGTGTGAGTGGAGGAAAAGGGCCATCTTCCATACAGACCAGCTTGGAAGTCTGTGTCCAAGTCCATATGTGAGGTTTTTGTATGTTTACCATTCTTCTCTTTTCCCTGAGAGATGGTCTCACTTAACTGGCTGCCCTGGGATTTGCTCTGTCAACCTGGCTGGCCTCTAACTCAAGAGATATACCTGCCTCTGCATCCTGTGTGTTGGAATTAAAGGCCCACGCCAAGGGCACTCATATTTAAAGAAGTGCCCTTCTAACCTCCACCCTCCACTCACTGTAACTGTTTTACCACAGCTTCCTGCTGGCGCTTGAGCTGGCAAGAGATCCAGCAGTAAGTTGGGTGGCTGACCCTCAGAGGTCTCCTCAGGAGGACCTTGTAAACAGGATACTCTCAAACACTTAATTTGCTTTGGAAGGGGGGCGGTAGAGAGGGTAAGAAATCTTTTATCTTATCGGAACTTTCCATTCTTCAGCTGCTGGGCCCTAGTGATGGGGTAGGATGGGGTGACAGGGGGGAAATTGTCTCAAGATGACATGTGCCATGCCATGGAAAGGGAGAGGGGATCAGGGAAGAGCCTTTCAAGATTGAAGTGATAAGGTCCCCGCCATCCTGTTAACTGCTGTCCTTGTGCCAGTCCACATACGTATGATGGCACCTTACACTACTGCGGGCAGCCTGTACCATATATACAGCCAGGCTGACCTGTAGTTGGGCGACTCTCTTTTGCTTTGGCGTCGCCGGTGCCCGACCTGAATGTGTACCTCATTCTGTTCCCAGTAGAAGAGTAGGCTGAGGGTGAGGGGCTATGAAACAGGTTTCTGTAACACCCATTTTTTTTTTTTTCCAGCCATAGGCCTTTAGATCTTGAAATCTGTGTCTGGAATTAATTAGTTGTGAAAATGTCTCTATATCTTGCCAAATGTCCCTTGGGAGGCAGAATCACTTCTAATTGAGAAAGAGTTAGCAAGGTATTTGTCAGAATTGTTAGAAGTCTGACCACTTCTAAGTTTTGGTTTGACTCGGGTTTCCTGTGGTTCAAAATGTAAACCACCAAGATTTGTAGAAATTAGGAAATAAAATTGTATTGGTTTTCAGCAGCTCCTCAGAATGCAGTTTTTTGTTTTTAAGCCAGGCTCTTTTGTAACGCAGGCTACCCTTGAACCTTACTTC